ATCTATTCATTTAAATCTATTTATTCAACTGCACGTTCAGCCCTTGAGCACTATGGCCACAGACAGCACAGCGGCTGCTCCGCACAGAGCACTTTGTGGGGTCCCTGCCTGGGGTCACAGCAGGTCCAGAGCTGCTGTCAGATGGGATCTGTTACAGCAACATCATCAGAGCAGCTCTGCTGGTCAGCAGTGCTGACAAGATACGCAGAGCCTGTGAAGGATTCCAAGATGGACAGCGAGCAGGAGGGCACTGCAGGCACCAGCACAGCGCAGCTCCAGCCCAGCAGCTCCCATACAGCCCTCCTCTGACCACCTCCCACCATGGGGCCTGGAGCTGCTCTGAGCTGCAACAAGGTGAAGCCCTCATCCTGGGGATACTTCTTAATTAATCTGATTGATGTGTTAACACAAAGATGCAACCAAGGACTGAAGATTCTCCCCAGAGAAAAAGAAAGCAGGGAAAACAACAATAATCCTTCCAAAACATCGTGCTATCTACCCATGTTTTCTTCCAGCCCTGGTCCAATACTCAGATCCCCAGGCAATGTGGAAAATCCACACTTGTGCCAGTGATCCTCCTGAGTATAGCTCAGAATAGGTAAAACATTAACAATACCATCTCCCAGCATAAAGTCAGCACTAATTCAATAGAAGGGCCAGATAGCAGCCAGCAGGGCAGAAACCGCAGCCAGGAGGATAACGTCATAAAGACAATAGAGATGGTAACTAATGAGACTCACACCCAGATGATGCCTTGTAATCATACAGCAAACCCTTTGTTTTCCAGTTCTGCAGCTGTGATCCATGACTTTTTTCTGCACCCCACACCACTTGTTGTTCTCTGACAAGTTACATTTTACCATTTCTCCCTTCACATCTGCATCTACAGCAACTCAGACGAAGCGTGGCAGGATTTCAAAGCCCTTCATTACCAGTGGCAGCTACTGCTCAACTGCACCACACAAAGCAAGCTGCATCATTCATGTGCTGCCTCAGTTTGGGGTATAGTTGACGTGGAAAGTCTCTTCCCCCCCTCAACTTTCCAAGCAAATAGAAATCTATCCATGGTGCAGTGAGACATTGTTTTCTCCCCTCCACAAGAAAGAAAACCAGCCAGCACCAAAGTTCCACATTGACAATTATAGACCTCCTGCTCAGCTTATTGCTGATCCCAAGGTACCTCCTCTGTAACCTCTTACCGAACTCCTCAATGTCAATCTACATTACTTGCACAAACAAAGAATGCAGAGATGAGCTGCAGCATAGTGCCACGCTCCTGGTCAGCTCTTCAGGAAACAGCGAGAGGTGCTGATGCTGACAGATGCTGAGTTTACCACCTGAGCCCACACATAGCACCGACTCAACTCCAACCTTCATCTCATCCTCATTAGAGTTAATGAAATAGTATAAAATCTCCAGCATATATTTCTTCTGAACTTCGTTTGAAAGCAGCAGTGATAAGTTCTCATTGTAGCATTCAGAATTTCAGCATTAAATATCAAAAGTGCATCACTCACATTCTGCGACACTAAAAACTGCATCTGCACCTTCACAGCCCAGATCTCCTGGGCACATCAACAGGTTTAAGGGCGAGGAGTCTCAAACTCAAGGACAATTACATCTCAGCTTCAGCTGAAGTATCCAAAATAATACTTGGGAGAGCAGCCAGCATTTATCCTGGAAACACAGCAATACATTTCTGTGTAAGGTCTGGAAGAAAAACACACACATGACCAAAACTTTGTAACCGTGACCTCAGAGCTCTCACTTCCCTTCTTTGTGCTCGCTTCCTTGGCTGCAGGAAAGGACATTGTTTGTGTAATTCAAAGGCTTTTTCCTGAGCATTACTTAGCTCAGGGTTTAAACAATCATCCACATCCTTGAGCTGAACACGTTGCAGAAACAAAAAACATTTTGTTTTTGAAAAAAAGCAGTTATTGCAATCAGCCTGTGTTCACACTGTTCACATATCAAGTGTTCACACATCCTGAAGTGTTTTGTTGTGCAACACATTCTCCAGGTGTATCATTGCTGCAGCTCCTCCACAGCTCCCAGCAAACCTAACACTAACAAATACAACTCCATCAAGGAACCGTTTAACCCTTTTTCAGCATGTAGAAACTTTTAGAAGTCCGCAGTGCACATTCTGTATCAAAGAAATATTTGGAATAACTTTCAGTTCACACATCACCATGAGAACAACGTAAACTCAAGTAGTTGCTTTGCAATCTAAGTGACAGATTGAGAAATGCTTTTCTACAGCAATACTCCACCCTCAGACAGCTCAGGAGTAGCAAACCAAGTCCAAAAAGTTGCATTGTTGGCTCAAATTCTGTCAAACTCCTCACCTTCAGCCAAGCTACAGGCACGCCTTTGGGGCCAATGGAACACAAGTGTATGTTTCTGTGCATCTGAACAGGACTGAATTCAAACACATCACACTAAATGTCTGTTTGAATGCTTCACTGAGCTGCCATTGAGGCTCAGCTTGCCAACGCTCTGACAAAATCTGAGGATGCAGATGCTGCTCTGAACCCTGCACATGCACTGGCATGAGGAGGGCTGGCACTTCAGGATGACATCAAGCACCAAGAGCTCAATGGCAGTAACAAGTCACACTGCCACCCAACATAGAGGCTAAAGATGCAGCTCCCTCCAGGTGAACCCTCTCCTTCTAATTCATTACCATAAACCAGCACATTCACAGGAAAGGTAACAATGCTGCAGCATTCCCATGGCATTAGAAGTGTGTGCAGAGGAAGATCTCTGCCAGGACAGCCACGTGTGCAGGGTGATGTGCAGACAGACGCTGCTGCTGGGCTGTCAGAGGAAAGGGCCTTCTCAGTTCTGCAGGCTCAGCCCTCCCGCATCATCGTCTGCTTGCGGAGCAGAGCCTGAAAGACCTGCCAAGGAAGTCCTGCACTGGGTGCAGGCCTGGCAGCATCTGAATCCCATCACTGAATCATCACAGCTTCACCCCACAGAAGTTCCATCCATTTGTGAATGTCTGTGCCCCACTAGATCAAGCTACAGCTCCATTAGTCCAACACGTCAGGTTCCTGCTCCTGCCGGACCCCACGCAGAGGATTCTTGCCTGCTCCATTGGTCCTTGCAGCCACACAGAGGACTGAGGAAAGAACCTTCCTTGTGCCTGTTCTCACCTCAGTTCAGCCAGCAGTTAAGCCTGTAATCATTCAAACCCTCCAGATCCCAGTTTCACCCACAGTTAATGACACATATCTGATAATTGGTATGAGAAGTAGCTCTGTACAAGTTTTTGGTTTTTTTTTTTTGCTATGGATGAGAACAGATAACACAGCAGTACAGTATTCCTTGATTTTTTTTTCCCCCTCTCAGTACTCTCCTACGACCTCCCCTAAAACAGCAACATTTCTTTCCCTATTGCATAACTTATTCCAGTAAAGCAATCCAAAAATTACTTATTTAGAATATCTTATGAAGTGCCTTTGGACAAAGTCAAAATGAAAACAAAAGAAATGTTCAGAGAAGAGGTTTTCAAAGAAAGAACTCCAGAGTAACTAACTCTGGAATTAGTCTGAGTCATTCCAACCAGATAAAATTATCCCAATAGATTTCAGAGTAATTTCTTAAAGTCCATTCTGCCTGTTTGAAGTAAAACACAGCAACCAAGAGAGACAGAACAGCCCAACCTGCAGTCATCGCCTATCGCCCTGTCCTTCCTGCTCAACCCTTCCTCTCCATATCTTAAACCTGACAACATTCACAGCCAAGCAGCAGAAGCCAAGGCAAGGTATTGCCTGCCATATCTCCTTGTAGATACATCACGCTGTGGACATAGATTGAAGCCAATCATCTCAAATGACTGCACATCCCTACAGTAACTGTCTTGATTGTCATTTTGTTCATGGATGTGGTTGGTGTTTCATTCCATGTTCAGCCTTGAAGTAGCCAAATTAGTATGCAGAAAGCTGAGTGGCAGGAAGGTTACTTTCCCTTATTGAGGAATCACCAGATGGCCATAGTTTTTATGCCAGAATTCCCCTGCATGTCCTGTGCTCACACTGCTTACTGTATCACATTTAATCATCAGTCCTTCCTTCACTTTTTCAGGTTTATACATAAACATACTTGAATGACCTCAAAGCAACACTGGCAGTACTGGTCCTTATCCACATGTAACTTAAAAGAGCTTTGCCTCCTAATTTCTCCTCAATTCTGTGGCTTTGGTAGCACATGTACAATTGGTCATAGCTTGTCAACCAACAGATTTATCCACCACAACTGACTATAGCTGGAGAGCATGAGGGAAAGTGCTACAACTCCACACAGGGAAGTTGGGAACTGAACATGATTCACAAAACTGATTGCTCACACACAGCCAGCATTCATGCAGTCATCATATTATCAATCAGTATGAAAAAGGACTCCTTATAGGAGAGCTCTCACTGAAGTCTCAGCAAAATGCAGCCCTGCTGCTCTGCATTCCCACATGCAAAACATGAAGTTCAAGCACTGTTGAGAGCATTACGTTTAACCCAAATAGTTGCATGGCTGCTTTGCTGAGACCTGGAAACAGGCTTCCCTGAGTGAGGGGAAGAGCACAGACAAGCAAATACAGGAGCTGCAAGATGTGTTTTTTTCCCCCCTCATTTTCTTGGGAGCATACAGTAAGCACTCCAGTCACAAACCACATAAACCTGTAAACCACGCAGGGCAACAACTAGAAAGTCTTCCCTTAAGCCAGACCTGCTGCTTGCTGGTTCGCACGATTAGTGCACACTTGGTGCATGCATTTACAGAATCAAAATCATTTTCTGCTACACCTATTGAGCTTCCACCTCCCCCCCCCCCCCCCCCCCCCCCCCCCCCCCCCCCCCCCCCCCGCCTTCCGAGCCTTCTCCTGCCACAACCACCCGGCAGCCGCCGTCCCCGCGCCCCGCCAGGAGCGGCCGATCGCCCGGGCAGAGCGCTGCGCTGCAGCCGCGCTCCCCTCTCCGCCCCCCGCCCCGGGCCGGTACCTTCCGTGTGGCAGCTGGAGGAGAGGATGGTGTTCGCAGGCCTGAAGATGTAAGGCAGGTAACGTGAAAAGCATTTCATCTTCCAAAAACGGTATTTAAAAAAGGGCGAGAAAAACATCTACAGCTTAAAAAAAACAAACCAACCAAACCTCTAAAAATAAAGGAAAACATGAAGCAAGCCCTCCTCACTCCACGAGGATCTCCCCCGTTCGCAGATAGCCTACATGGCGCAGGCAGGGGCTCCCTGCGGGGGCTGCCCCGCCGGCCCCGGCGCTGCCCGTCCCCATAACCGCCGGCCCGGCCGAGCGGCCCCGGCCCCGGGAGGAGCCCCGCGGGCGGAGCGGAGCTGAGCGGGACGCCCGGCCCGGCCGGCACCGGCGCGGCATTGGCTGGGCGCGGCCGGGCGGATCGCTGACTCAGCCGTCCTGCCGGGCCCGGCCGCTGCCCCTCCGCCGCCGAGAAGCGGAGGAGCCGCGATCGGTGCGGCCGCACGCGGCGGGACGGCAGGGAGAGCGCGGAGCCTGCCCCGGTCATCCGCGTTCTTAAACGCCGCCGCTCTCCCGGTGCAAAAGCAAAACGCAAATGAGATTTCCAAGGTAACGTCAGTTACGTGCTGCCTTTGGGGGTCAGAGCAGCCGAGCGGCTTTGCTCCCTCAGATTGCGGGTGGGGGACAAGGAGCAGCCTGGATGTTCACAGAGAGCAGTCAGAAACGAAGCGTAACGCATACAACGAAAACGTACTTCGCCATATTTCGGATTATTCTAAAGAGGCACCCGTAATTCTGCCTTTCTAACACACAGCACTTAAGAAGCAAAACAGACCTCTCGTGGTTGGAGCTTAGGGCACAAATCTCACACCTGAGTGCAATCCAAAGCCTGCACCAGCTCTGTAGCACACGATGGAAAGTATCAGCATCAGGAGGGCAGACTGGAAGGACATAGCATGACAAGTTGCTGGTCAAATCTCTTATTTCCCTGATGTTTAGGTACTCTATGGACGAGTTTCTGTTTTAGGACCAACTCACTCAACATTGCTGTGTCATGTGAGCACAAGGTCAGTTTGCTGTTCAGTTCCATCATCTCTCTGCAGTCTCATTTGCATTGTCAGACAACGACAACATGACTGCATTTATACCAACTAAATGCAAAGCACCTATGGCACTGAGAAGCTTTTCACTGCACATTTATCTTTATTCAAAAGATACTCTGAACTTGTAAGGAAACTGCAGGTCTCACTGCAAACAAGGCAAAGCCATCCTGCATGGAGATGAGTGCTCACTACATCTGCATCACGCAGTAGTACTTAGCCACCACCTGTGTACCTTAAATCCATCCCAGGAAATAAGGAGGCAGTATTTTATCAAGTGCTCTTTATGGCAACTACCTGCATGTGTTCATACGTGACTCACACAATGAGATTATTTCACAGCCTGATCTAGAAACATGAAACAACCTCTGAAACAAACAGTGCTGCTTATCTGGACCTGGAAACCACATCCAAGTTCATCTGAGAAAGAGATAAATATTTCCTGTTGTAATTACAGAGGAAAGCTGGGTGTGGTGTGCATAATTAAACCACATTACAGATGTGAAAACTGCACTTACATTTCTCTGATGATCAAAGCTCCTCAGTTATCATCAGTGTTTTAGAACAACATCTGGGAAAGATTGTGCACAACTAACTGCATGGATGGACAGATTTGGGAGCCAGAGAGACTTTAGAGAAAGCCCCAAAGCTGCATCATCTGAAAACAGTTCTGGAGGAAAAAATCAACTTCTACAAAGAAAAATGTGTGCATTGGTCTTCTGGTTGCACCCTTCCCACACTGTTACACCTATGTGTGCAGGAGGCAGCACACACGGATACCTGCACGCAGTGTGACAGGCAGAAATGGCAGCAGGCTGCAGCATGCCAGGTGTGCTGGTTTATTCAGGACAACCCAGAGTTGGGTCACCACCGCAGTGAATGAGGACCACCTCGTACTTCGTGGTCACTGAGGTGGCATCACCCTTCTGACTACACAGGACTTAAGGTTTATAGAAGTTCCCATGGAGCTCTTGGCAGTTATCAAGTCCCAAACAAACCACTTACCAGCACAATCTCCTGAAACTGAGAAATCAGTCTAAGAGAGGTCTGTGTCCAGGCTGCCCTGTCTCACACTCTGCTTCTTGGTGGTTCCACCTCTCCAATAAACACAGTTTGTTCCATTTAAAGACTTCAAAAGAAGCAATTTCTTTACTAATAATCAGCTGTGTCTGCTTCTAATGCAAACACACCTGAGAAAGTTAGTTCTTCTGGAATAAGGTGTCATAAGAAGCTGAGACCCACATGTAGGACAAATATGAATGTTGTGCATCTCTGCCATGTTCTGTTGTGTTTGTGGATATCTTCCACTGTTACTGAAAAATAGGCACTTAAAGACAGACACAAACGTTCCCTAAGAAGGGGATTAATTCCACCCCATTATAATCATGTAACAAAATAAAAGGCCTTCACTATCTTTACTGTGGGCTGTACCTGTTTGGATATAGTCAGTTTGTACATTCCATTAACAAATGGAATCTCACCTCACATACAGGGATACACACCTGATCTTAATTAGCAAGAAACTCTGAAATGAAAACATACAGGAGCACAAGCCAGGCTCTGAGCCAGCTTGGTGGGCCCACAAACAGCCATTCAATATTGAATTAGTAAACATAGCCCCTCATTTGGAGCTATTGGTATCACTTGTGGATAATGTGATAAACAGATCAAGCAGCTGTAATAAAGCCTCAGGTGTACAACACAAGTACAACACAAAACTCTTATCCACATACATCTGAACACACACATGCCTGTATTCACATACAAGCACAAACAAAACCAGCAAAACAGAACTCTGCACTTCGTCACACCGAGGCCATGTGCACCTGTTGATCAGACCTGACAAACTTGGATGCCTTTTTGTTACTGGCTTCACAGCCTTATCTGTATGCCTCTTCTGTTCTCTGTCTCCTGAGCATCCCAAGAAAATATTGCAGGTTCTTCCTATGTAATCTTCCTATGTAATGTTATAATGTGATAGGACACACAGCAGTGACAGCAGAGCAACAAAGCCCTAGGCTGCAGCAGGTAAGGATACACTCAGTAGCAGCCATAGACACCAAAACAATGGAAGAAAATCTCCTTACCTTTAGAAGACCTCAGGAACTCCAGCAAAACACTCACACCGCCACTGCCAAGCCTTAAATGAGGGCTGGGGAGGGGTGGATCCTGGCTCCAGCCCTTCCATCACTCAGTACATTGCATGCAGCTGAGCTCCTCTGGACTGGCCCTGCCTTCCCACCAGGTGCTCCATCACTGCTTCAGGCCATGACTTTGCATTGCCACTGCACCCTGCCATCATGTCTCTGTGTTCCTTCAGCACTGAGTCCCAAATTTAAAAAATAAAAGCTTATAGCCTTCAGTTTGTAACTGGCTACATTAAAAAAGGGAATGTGAGTAAGAAGAGGAAACCTATTGTTTCATTAATCAATGAATGAATGAATAATGAACCAGCAAACAAGTGCTCCAGACCCCTTGAAATGACTTCCAGATTATACAGTAAAAGCTCAAAACATTTGTAAGTATTTTTGCAAAAAAGCACCTTAGTAGGTGGAGCTGTGAGGAGCAGCACTTCTAGCAGCACCTTTCCATAGCCTGTTGCATTTCTGGGCCAGCTCTTTCCCAAACCACTCTGTCGGAGGGATGAGATGCAGCCCATGCTGTCTGTGCGGTGCTGCTGGCAGCAGTGTGAGCACAGCCCTGCCCATTCACTTCCATCCCACCAGTCAGCACCCTTGTGTGGTTGTGCCTGCCTGGCACTTGGTGAGCCTGCAGTGGGACCTCACAGAACAGTTCGGGTGCTCCAACACACCAGCAATAACACGGCAAATGTATGTGCAAGTGCAAAAGGTCTCTATGCTAAAATCAACTGCCTGCTCTGCACGTCAGGAAACAACTTCTCTGCTGTGCTTGGCCTCCCTGCAGCTCCAAAACACTGCACGTGCTGGGAGGACTAGAAGAGGCAAGTGGCACTCATTTGTCCGTGAGAGACAAAGTACAGGCAGGGAACAAAATGTGAAGAAAGGAGGAAAAGAATTGATGGATTAATAAGCAATGCAGTAAGAGAAAGCAAGATTGAAGTGTGAAATGGGAGTAAGAAAACATAGGAGGAAGCCCAGTATAGAGCTGAGCATCAAATGGTCATCGCAGGAGGAACAGGGCAGCATGAACACATTCAGTTTTAAGGGCAGGAGAAAGGAATGCATTAATTCCTTTCCAGTTGCCCACGTGTTTGCAGTTCACATGTTGGTTGAACGCTTGCAGACGGAGAAGTGCCAAAGTGATTTAGGAGCATGGATCGCCCTGAAAGCTACAAGCTCTCCTAGAGCTACCCTCAGCTCCTGAACCTCGCATACACCTGCGCCAGCTCCTCTTTATCTTTGAAGATGCATGTATCTCATAGATACATATCTGTGTCTGTACGATTAATTTTTAATGACAGTGCAAGAATGGGCAGCAAATCAATATTATGTCACCCAGGAATGGAGCCCAGCTGATTCCCAGGAAGGATGTTACGGTGGAGCAGTTTGTCAAACACACTGAGACATTCAAGCAAATAAAAGCTCAAAAACAAGGGAAATGTATTTCAAATATTATTGATGTATTAAATAAAAATGCCCTCAAGTTAAACCTTTGGGTCAACAGCTAATTTTAGTTACCACCCCTTCTACTGTCTCTACACCAGGAAAGCATGGGAGAAAAGGATGTGCCTTCCCTTCACCCACCAGCACGCAGACAGCCCTGTGCACGAAGCAGGTGACAAACGAGTACTTTGTGACTGCAGCCAACAAAAAGGGAAACTGAACCTACCTTCTGTCACCCCAACATCGATGGTTCCCTTCACCTGACTGAAGCACCACAGCACATCCTGCATGAGGTTTCCAAGTCCTGCCAAGGAAGCAGATGCAGAATGAAGATGCGATGACTTGGTGTACAGCTTGCCCTTTTTTAAGCGAACTCACACATACATACGTACAAACTGGCACACGAATATCTGCAGTCTGTGTGAAAATAAACTCACCTGGTATCATTCTCCCCCAGCACGCAGGGTCAGTGTGGCAGAGCTGGCAGCATTGTGCCTGCACTATGAATCGCCCGTCTGTGTGCTCTGTACCATCTCAGGGCCAGTCCCAGAGTGGTGCAATCGGAGCCATCCCCTCCACATCACAGCAGCACACAGAGCAGTCAGGAGGCCCCGCAGTCACACTCTTTGTCACA